ACAACTACGCAAGCATTCAACGTCGGTATGTACCGCTGACGGAAGCAAACAAGTATTTTTCGGTACCATAGANTCGGTATGTACCGCTGACGGAAGCAAACAAGTATTTTTCGGTACCATAGAGTTAAATGTAAAGTTTGAAGATAAGAAAGAAGCCATACAGTTTTTCATTATACCCAGTATGTCACAAAACGTCATACTTGGAGTCGACTTTTGGAGTAAATTCCAAATTGCCCCACACATAGTATCCGAAATCTCTTTAGATGCCAAACGTGGCGAAAATACCCTTTTCTTAAGTGCTGAAGAACAACGAAAATTAGATATTATTAAAAATAGATTTCCAAGCTTCGGAAAAGACGGCTTAGGAAAAACTTCGCTTATGGAGTACGTTGTTGAGCTTCAACCTGGTGTCCGTCCGATAAAACAACGATATTTCCCAATATCTCCTGCCGTGGAAAAGCTTGTACATGCAGAGATAGATGAAAGGCTCAAGCTAGGTGTAATCGATAATAGGTGTAATCGAATAGTCCGTGGTCTAGTCCGATTGTGTTAAGCCAAATAAAGTCCGTCTGTGTCTTGATTTAAGAAAAGTTAATAGCGTTACCGTTAAGGACGCGTATCCTCTTCCTCACATTGATGGCATTTTAAGCAGAATACCCAAGGCGAAGTACATTAGTTCACTAGATTTTCTTCGTGCCTTTTGGCAGATACCGCTTTCAGAAAGCTCCAGAGATTACACCTGCTTTACTGTCCCAAATCGTCCGCTTTACCGTTACCGCGTAATGCCATTTGGCTTATGCAATGCCCCACAAGCACTTTGCCGCTTGATGGATCGCGTTATCCCTCCTCAGCTAAGGAATCCAGTTTTTGTATACTTAGACGACCTTCTTATTGTGTTAGAAGACTTTGACACCCATGTCCGTTTTATGCGAAGTTGCACATCACTTAAGAAAAGCGGGATTGACAATTAATGTCGAGAAAAGTAAATTTTGTATCAGAGAGGTGAGATATGTCGGATATATCGTAGGTGAGGGAAAACTTAAGACCGATCCGGACAAAGTTTCGGCAGTATCTAATTACCCGGTGCCAACTAGTGTGAAGCAACTACGCCGTTCCCTGGGAATGGCCGGATGGTACCACCGTTTTATCGATAACTTTGCCGCGATCACTACGCCGCTAACTAATTTGCTGAAGAAATGTAAGACGTTTCGTTGGAATGAGGAAGCGCAAGCTTCTTGTGACAAATTGAAACAAATGCTATCCTCAGCACCAGTTCTGTCTAGCCCAAACTACGAAAAACCCTTCTTCATCCAGTGTGACGCCAGCAAGCTTGGTGTTGGTGCCGTGTTAGTACAAAAGAATGACGATGATGTAGAAGCTCCGATTGCCTATTTTTCGAAAAAACTGAACAAGGCCCAAAGTAACTATAGCGTTACTGAATTGGAATGCCTCGCAGCAGTACTCAGTTTACAGAAGTTTAGAGCATATGTTGAGGGCCAGGATTTTACTATCGTCACTGACCACGCCAGCTTGCAATAGCTCATGCGCCAGACACACCTGACCAGTAGACTAGCTCGATGTGCGGTAAAACTGCAAGGTTACCGGTTTAAAATAGAACACCGAAAAGGTTCACTAAATGTGGTGCCAGATTGCTTGTCACGGCAAAATTTTGATGAAGTAAATGCGTTAGAAGTCCGTCCGTTAGTCGATCTGAAGTCGTCAGAATTTTTGTCCGATGAGTATAAAAAGTTAGTAACTCAAGTCCGAAGTAATGGAAACCGCCTACCCGATCTCCAAGTAATTGACGATCTGGTTTATAAACGAACCGAACACCCCCATGGAAATCCAGAACGTGAAGCTTTCAATTGGAAACTATGGGTCCCAAAAACGCGCCTAACGTTACCTTGCGACCCCCTATGTCCGTTCAGTATACTGTCCAACGTCCTTTCCAGAAATTGTACATAGACCTACTTGGACCGTATCCCAGATCAAGACAAGGAAATATTGGCATTTTAATCGTGCTCGATCACCTAACGAAATTTCCCTTACTAAAAGCTGTTAGAAACTTTAACACCCCGGTTATTTGCAATTTTCTCACAGAAAATGTTTTTAGTGTTTTTGGAACTCCAGAAATTATTTTAAGCGACAATGGAAAACAATTCAAATGCACACAATTTAATAATATTTTAGCAGAACGCGGCATTAAGCATTCTTATACCGCCTTATACAGCCCACAAGCTAATGCGAGCGAGAGAGTTAACAGATCGATTATCGCTGGAATAAGATCATACTTGAAAAGTGACCAGGCACTATGGGACAAACACTTAGCAGACATTGCGGAAGCGCTGAGGAGTTCTTACCACCAGTCCATTGGATGCACACCGTACTTTGCTCTATTCGGCCAGCAAATGCTCTCGCACTCTGACGAATATGGGTTACTGCGAAAGTTAGAAACACTTGGCGAAACTGTCTTGGACAGAACCGACAGACTAAAATGTATACGCAAGCCAATATTGGAGAACATTAGTAAAGCGTTCGAGAACTCCGCCAAACGCTACAACTTGCGAAGCAATGCGAAAAATTTCCAAACAGGAGATACCGTTAACCGACGGAACTTCGTGCTGAGTGACGCTAGCAGAAAGTTTGCTCCAAAGTTCCTTAAGGCCAAAGTAATTACGGTTAAAGGCAATTCCATGTATGAATTGGAGGATAAAATTACAAGAAAGCGCGGAATATACCACAGAAAAGATATTCAGGAAGCCAAAGGGGTAATTCACACTGCACCAACACTCCAGCAGGGGGGAAGTGTACTGGCGCACATCACTCGATTGTAATAGTATCCTTTCATATAATTCTCCGCATCATATTCATAGACTTCAAATTCCATCTCTATATTTTTTTTATTCCCCTCCATACCATAAAGCATAATAAACATAGCTCTGCAAGTTTCCTTAACCCATCTTTCCACCCATATGATTTTAGATAATCAGTTATCGATAAATTAGATAGCCACCTCAGCTTACATCCTACTTCCGCCGAAATCCCTTCTTTCTTTCTTTTGGGAACCAGCGAGCTGGATAAACGGGTGAAAAAAAACAAGTGAAAATCATATCTTTAATAAACGCAAAGTTAAATCTTACATATATATACCTATCAAAAAGTAGGCGAAAATCAATAAATATCTATTAATTCCGGTGCCATCTTTATATAAAATAATAACGCCTGGATTTTTACACACTAAAGGTAAGATTCCTACCGCAATTTTTATACCCGAGCGCACTTGTGCACAAGGGTATATTAATTTTGTTCACATAACGGTTGTTTGTAACAGCCAAAACGAATCGAGATAGATATAGACAAATGTATACATAAATGGTTATTGTGCTTGCCACATATAAGCAAACCGTTGAAAATTATTGAAATCGGACTAAAATAACGGCCGCTTCTCATATAACGGTGAATTTCAGAACTGCTTGAAACTTCAAAATCGAAATTTAAGGACTCT